GACAGATGATGCAACTGCATAACTTGTGCTTCCTCAGGGAAGCAGGCTGAAATGGCAGGAATATGTGTGGAATATGATGCCTCATTATTTAACATCAAAAATTCCTCTGAAATAATAATTTTTAACTCATTGCCAATTAAATTAAATTCATATATGCCTGTAGTAACATTTGGGTCTCCAGGAAGAATCAGTGTTCAATTAAAAAAGAAGCCAAACACCATTAAAATAGAAATGTAGAGTAAGTGTGGCTGAATTCCACCTGTTCATTCCAGATGTTTGCAGTGATTCACACATCTAAAGTCTCAGTAAATAGAGCTAATGATGGTTCAGAATATCTTAATGCCAGTAGCTGCATCACTTAAAAACACAGCTGCTTAAACAGGGTTAGAAGGCATACTGCTAAAAACTCTGTAGGGATTACACTGCCCTTGTGGCATACTACAGCTTGAATTTGCTTGAGGATCCAAGACTCTACCAATTCTCTGGGGATCTGCCTCAGATTCCTGGTTTAGCAAACGGAGGAATCTGTGGATTAATAGGAAGAACAGAAAATGGAGTACAAAAAGAAAGATGGCACCTATGAATGCAAAGTACAGCCCTCCCAAATATATACTGAGAAGCCAAATTTCATCTGGCACTATCTGTTTGCTGCTTTTTATGCCATGGGCAAGTAGCATTCTCCATATATGTGTCCATGCAGGGGCAGTGATCTCACAGCATGTTTAAATTTACTCATGAGGAAGCTAATTTTCTCCTGTTTTATAGCCACTCTGACTTTAAATTCTCTGGGTAATTTATTTATTACCAATATTATTCATTGCTACACTTACACACTTAACAGGGCAGCATTGCAGAGCTGGGGATCCAAAGAGCCCACTTTTCCTTGCATTGGAATGGTTCACAATGATTAAAGATCATGCTCTGAGCTGCCAACAAAGTAGGACTTGTGGAAATCCTCTGCAATTAAAGGAAAACCATTCAAAGAAGCTGTTTTCCCAGCCTGGGAACTAATGAAGTTGGAATTCCTACAAACTGGTGCCTCAAGTCCTCAGTCCCTTCCCCACATAACTTTGGTGCTGAAGCTTCTTCCCTTAGTGCTCTCTACAAGTTCACCATGGACATTCCCAACTAGCAAATTCCACAACTTTTATAAGAATTGGGTATCTCTGGGATCTTGTGCCCCTCCATCAGTTTGGTTGAAATTGGGCCACAGATTTTAAAACTGCAGATCTTGGAGGGAGAAAGCATGGGTCAGCACTGTTTTTGTAAATGAGACTGGTAGCTGGGGTCAGAGATGAGTTTTGATGACCCACCAGGAGATATCATTTCCAGAGCAGAGGACTCTCTGCTTAGAAAGCCTTGCCCACTCTTTAGGCCTTGGGAAGCAGTTGTAGGATGAGTCCTGCCAGTTTAACATGTTTCTCCTGGACCTAGGAGTCTAATTCGGTACTGCAAAACCTGAACCGTTCCTACTCCGGGCACACCTAATGTCCTCTGGTAATTAAAGGGCACCTCAGGTAAATAAGCATCTTGTGGTTCCTGACATGGATCATCCCTTGAAATATATCCAAAAAGGACATAAATCCAAGATGACAGCAATCTCAAGGGTCATCAAAACAATTACTACAGGCTCCTCTTTAGAGTAACTCCCTCTGTTTGTAGTAGAAGGATCTCAATGCTCGAAGCCAGAGGACAGAGAGGATCCCTACAGAGGGTGTAGGGCCAGAGGGATTTCATGAGGCCAACTCAACCAACCCCTGCCTTAAGGCAGGATTAGAGCTAGCTAACTATTCCTGGCAGATATTTGTCTAACCTGCTCTTAAAAGGCACCCACAAGGTCCTTGGACACTGCTTAGTGATCCTGTTAATTTAACACTGTTCTTAATGAAAAAAGAGAATATGAGAGTGGGAAAGCGTGGACTGTAGCTGCCCCTCTCTGTAAGGACACTGAAAATATATTCGTCACTGCCTTGGGAAGACAAAGCACTATTTTCTCATCACGGTTTCTTTTGTGCTCTTGGCCATGTTCCTGCAGGGACAACAAGGTGCCAGCCATGATGCTCTGTGCTGGGTGGCACTTGGTGGGAGCTGCCGGGAAAACGCTGGGCAGAGTGGAACCGGCAGCCTGGGAAGTGGGAAAGCTGCTCCAGCCAAGGAGGAGGGCTGTGTCCCCTTCCCTTCTGCTGCATCCACTCCCTTGCATGCACAACATTTCCACAGGCTGTGCACAGGGACCAGGATTTGGGCATTAATTAATAGGATTATTTGTTATGAATTCCTTCTTGCCTTTTCCATAGGATGTTTTACAAGAGTGGTAAGTTTGACTTCCCTTCAGTAAAATGCCAGGGCTGTGTTTGCAGGGCTAGGGATGTGACAATAGCTATCACCACCCCATTAATACCATCTGATATGGGGCACATTCTCAAATTAGGAGGAACACAGGACAGCCTGTTACCATTCCCCCCAGCTTGTTAATGGAGATACCCCTGTTACTATAAGACATCTCCCACACATTGAAAATGCCCCCATGCATTGGATATTCCCTGGAGAAAGCAAGACATGATCCCAGCATCACATCTGAAGGGTAGATTGTGTGCACTAAATATCCCCCCTCAAGTAGGATTTTGCCAAAAACCAAGGTTTGAAAACATCAGCTGTGTGGAGAAGGAGCAGCTCAAGCCAAGGAGGCACTGAGTACCTTTGCTGCTGCTCTCATCTCAGAATCCCTTTTCTTCATTATTGTAATACGGCCTTTCATGTGATTTCTCTATGTAACCGATAATGTTCTTGAGCTTGCATTTCACAGGAAAGGTTATTTTTGAAAAGAATAAAGAAAATCCTTATCAACCTACACGCTTGTTGTAGGAATGCCAACTCTCTTATAAGTGCAGGCCCATCCATCCCTTTATTTTGATGTAAAAAAATCTCCTGGCCCGTAACTACAACATGTAAGAAGTATTGCAAGCAGAACTTGATCTCATCTCACTCTGAAGACAGCAGGGCCTTTCTCCCCCAGAATAAATCCCAAACAAACCCCCCTCCTGCTCCTAGCTTTACTGGCAGCTTCAGCAACAAGAGATAAACTTCAACCTACGTTTTCTTTCCAGGCTTAGTTGTTCACCACTTTTTTCCCCCATACCTGCTTCGATCCCCTGCAAGAAGCAATTATCCAGATGATATTGTGGCTGAGGATAACTGAATATCCCTCCTGATACAACCGAGTGATATCACGGCAACTTCTGCAGGTCTCAACAGATTTCATACAGTGTGCCTAAAAAAAGGGCCCTCCTCCGAAGGGAACTTTGAATCTGTCCACCATTATAAACACATCCTGCAGAAATGAAAGAGAGAATGGCAAAAATTTGCGTCTAGAAAACTCAGTTCCTTGCCCAGGAGCATTTGGACCAATTGCTAAGCTCTAAGGAAGGTAGAATGGTCAGTTATTCTGACTGTTCACAGATGTCTCGGGGTCCCTGTCCTTTATCATCATTGGAAGATGGAGAAGGGGATCACAGCCCTCAGATATTCATTCAGAACAGATGCCTCCCACTCACAAAATCACATTTCTGGGACAAATGAGCTTCCACACAGGAAGTGTTTTAAATAACTGAAGAAAGTTGCCTCTATTTTCTTATATTCTCAGAAAATACAGCGCCAGATTAATCTCAAGGTTGGGGTGAGGGATCCAGGTGTGCTATGGTAAAGACCGTTCACCAGAAACTTCACATGGCAAAGTCTACCCTGGAGGAAGATGGAAAGAACACAAAAGGGGGCTGGAGGTGGCCATGGCTTCCTGCTACGGAGCCGTGCTGTCAACACAGAGCAAAGGTAGCATGGCAAGAGGGAATAATGCAAAACCTGCTGAAGGGACAAGGCATAGATTTTCTGTAATTAGCAGCTGAAGCCCATTGATTTTTGAAATAGCAACTCTTTAAAATAAAACAGGTTCCACAGTGGTCACAGGCACCCAGAGAAACACGCCTTAGCTCCTGGGTCTGCTTCAGTGACAGATAACAGTGACACCACCACGGCGTTTAGCAGCACTGACATGTGCATGCAATGGAGCGGGGACTGCATCTAAAACCCCTTTCTACTTCAGACCAATTTGTGTAAATAAACGCAAACATTTCTAAGGCTTGATTGACTGAAGTCAGTGAGAAGGTCTCTGCTGACTCCACTGGGCTCCAGATAAGGTTCTTCAGTTCAGTAGCTTCCAAAATGCATCTGCTTTTCTGATTTAGCGCTATTGTTTGATGTAGGTCAAAACCAAATGAGCCTTAATTAACTTCAAACTGAGTTCCCATGTTTACAACATACTGGTTTATATTTCTGTACTTAATTCAGGTATACACATTGTCAATCATCTGTGAACTCGGGCTTCTCTTAAAATACTCATTTGTCTCACAGTATCTCACTAACTACAATGCTGTATTTCTAAATTCTCGCATAATCAAAGGTGCACTAGAAATAGAGGAAATTCTTGTATATCAGGACAAAAAAAATGCACACAACTTCTTTGCTCACTGATGCAACCAAAACACCCAGGAGTTATTATAATGTGCATTCCCTTGACAGAGACTTTTATTTCATGCAAATTATTATGATTAAGATTCGCATACTTTTTTTCCATTTTCGCACATTACTTAATCAATGTGAAGTACTGTGTAAAAATTGCATCTCTTCATAACAGTGATTTTGACCAAGTCAAGTGTTGCTGCTAGAATCCTAATCCAGACTTGTGATTCAATTATCATTTAGAGACTTTCTAAATTCAAATTAAGTTTACCAAAAAAAAAAAAGTTAATATCTATATGGATCATTTGAAGGTTTTATCAAAATAGCTTCCTGTTGCAAGGGAATGTAAAACATGCTGGATTCTTTCTGTTTCATTTACTTCTTTAACTTAACATGAAAAATATACAGTGCTGCATGGAATCTGAGCATTAAAATGTATACCTTGGGACACTTCTTGTTTGTATTGCATTGTTTACATTTTATAGGCAGCCATCCTGAGATCTTACAAGACTATTTAAGCTCAAGGTGTGGGCATCTGATCGAAGCAATCACATTACCACAGCTTCACGTGTTACCTACCGTTCACCAGCTGAGTCCCAGAAACTCACTGCTGCCTCATAACCCAAAGTAGGTGTCTGCTTCAGTCCTCAGAGCTGCAACTACCTTAAACAACAGGTAAAACCCGTGTCTGTTACAAACCTCCTGCTCTTGACGATTTACTTTAAAATTTGGGTGGGATATGCATGTGCATGGTGCAAGTTGTCCATGAAATGCTATAACCTTGTGACTTGCACTTGTAGGCCTATGTAGGCTATTTCAATCATGGGGTTTTCTGGGATAAACTCAATGTGGGCTGTTCATGGGTGTTAAGGTCAGCAAAAACTATGACGTTGTTCTGGCCTTTTACATACACATGCAATTTGGCATTGAAACTCCTTCTTCAAAGCCAATGATGCTGGTAACAAATATTTTTTTTTTGGAAAAACCCCCAGGTACTCAACATTAAGAATCCAGTCAGGGGAGAAGTTGCTACATCACTTTGCCCTGGAGATAACACAATTTATTCTGGAGAGCGTTAGCCTGAATTCATAAAGTCAAGTCTCTGGATTTCAAAGGCTATCTTGAAAATTGCATTTTCATCAATGGTTTGACTAATTATTTTCTTAAAACCAACTAGAAAGGTTACCTGGTCTCTTAAATCTGGTAGGTATCTAGTATGCTAGCAATTTTCCTTCCTTTTCATTCCTCACAGGACAGAAATTAGACATTGTCATTCCATATTATTTGCGACATGTTGACATTATAATTTAAAAGGATGCAGCAGTTCTGAACAGCTGGAGAGTAATCCTGAACAATCCTTGACAGTTCCCTTTGGAGGATGAATGCACCTCCCTGGAGAACTGCAGTCTCTTATTTTAAACTAACAGCTAATTTTAGACAGTTTGCCCTCTTAGAAATGCATGCCACAGAGACTTCTCTACATGGTGAACAGCAGTGACCAGAGATAAGCACCCACACAGAAAAAGAGAGCTCTAAAATAGATTTTTCCTCTTCTAAGAGACATGACTTGTTTGCCATATTGCCTGATGGAGCCAAAGAGAGACTCTCATTGCTGGTGCTCCCTGAGACAACCCTCCCTCGTGCTGTGCTGAGCTGAAAGCTTCTTAGATGCTGCACACACTTTGGGACTGCTGTGGTTTACTTCTCCTCAGAGACTTGGTGGAATTGGTTTAAGCAGAAGGGATTTTTTTTTTTTCCCCTCCACCCAACAAGTTGAGCACACTGTGCTTGAAACCTCTTGCTCCTGGAAGGGAGCAGGAAGCATCCTGCAGCAGGGCCATGCATCACCTCTGTCTCTCAAAGGTCTTGAGTGCAATGACACTGAGTGATGGGGGACATGAGCCAGCAAACACCTTGTGGAAGGTGGAAACCAGCTTCATATGGCTTTGCCTTATGGGTTGTTGAGAGAAGGGAGGAGGGTGGGACGTGGGGCATCTCCTCCAGCCATCTTGCCAGGAGGAGGGGAAGCTGCTGTGCTGGTAGAACAAAGCTCCACCTCTCCTGCCCTTCTGAAGCTGTGGTCTAGCCTTGAGGACATGTTCAAACACTCCTTACCAATGAGTGCTTGTGTCTTTAGCCAGAAAAGCCTTGACTATTTTATTTTCTTTCTTTTTTTTTTTTTTTTTTTTTAATCTTTTTCTTCTTTTATTTTTTTTTTTTCCCCAAAAAAGTCCTGACTTCACATCATCATGCTCCTGGGACTTTCCAGGCAAAGGTACGCTGCCTGCAGATCAGCCTTCAGGTGGGTAACCCACTTGCCAAGTCCGTGGGGTGATTTGGATTCAGGTTAAGGGTAGATAAAAACTGCTGAAATGATTATTGCTTTATTGTGTGTCATGTGGTCTGAACGGAAGCAGATCTGGCTTGCAGGAGTCATTGCAAGGACAAGCAAGAAGCTCAAGAGAAGTGGTTCTCTGTTGTCACAGGAGCAGGAGGCACTGCCAGCACGGAATGGGAGCTCTCAGGAAAAGCTGGTTCATGCTCTGCAGCTCTTGTCTCTCTGGGGCACAAGAGCAAGAGCAAAGAAGGGCTGAAGGGACAAACCCTTTTGTGCCATGGACTGAGCAAAAGCCCCCTGTGTTCAAAGAGGTGCAAGGCTGGGTCAGACCTGAATTGTGCTCAACCACATTTTTCCTAGATTTGCAGCAGACACTAACGTGGTCAGCCTGGTCACTGACAGTTGACTCCTGCTTCGCTGGGACCCCTGAAAGACTTCGCACTGGCTCTGGTGGGGCTTTCGTCCAGCCTTTAATCTGTACAAGGTTTTTTCCATGCTGCACATCTCTGGGGAACAGTCTGTCTTTTCTGAACAGGAACCGCAGCTGGCTGCAGAATAAAGATGTCTGGAGTTGGGCTCTGCTGGATGCTGTGCCCTGTGAAGTCAAGGGGAAACTCATCACTGGTTTCAAGGACAACAGCTTGAAGTCCCTTCTTCAGCTGCCATTCAGGAGATTGCCTCATGGTTCCTACCAGTTGAATATTTCTATCAAACAAGGGTAGTGCTCCAAATAGGAAAGTCTGACAGAAAACAAACAAACAAACAAACAAACAAACAAACCAAAACCAAACAAAACCCAAAACATAAGAGTTCCTGGTTCTTATTTCTCTAATTAAAAATTACTCCCCTCACCTCTCAAAGCTCTAATCCAGGTGTAATACTTTTCAAGAAGAGAATACTTCCCTTGCAGAGTTTAGAGCAGCAAGCTTAAAAATCCAGGTTTTGGACTGAGGTGAGTTTAAAAACAATTTCACTGAATTTATTCTGTAGTTGGAGGAGTCAATAAGACATGCAAAAGAAAACCCTGTGAGTGTAAAGAGACTGAGTGGGCTGATATAAATCCACCTCGGCAAGATCTGTGTTGGGAGGACTTAGTCATAAGAGTAATGCTGTTCCTGTGGAGAAGCATTTGCAGGCTCCAGCCCTCGGTATAGCACATGGAGTAGCTGAACAGGTAATACTCAACGTTGTGCCTTGGGGCCCACGGGGACGGGAGATGAAGCTGTTCAAACACTTGTCTGTGTGTAGGCACTTGAGTGAATATATAAAATGTGTGTGCCAGAGCTGAAGGGCTTACATCACTCAGGTGTTTGCACCTGATAAAAAGCCAGGACTAGTGTTGTGGGAGTGTGTGAGTCTGAAGAAGAGAAGTCAAGACTCAATCACTTTCCCTGAATGATTCATTGCCCTATAAAACAGAATCTGAACTGTATTTTTCACTGAGGACCATGTGCCCCCAGCTAAGAGAGGACCCCAAGAGCAATTCCCTTGTATGTGGGAATGAAAGAGACAGTGAAGCAAAGTAATTTTCCTAGGTTCTTCCAACCTTGTTCTCAAGCAATTGTTAGAAATGCAAGCTCAGCTAGTTACCTCTCCAGAAAGAATAAGATTAAATACAACAAAATGGCTTAACAGATTTTTTAAACCCTGATATCCCTATTGATTTTCCATGGAAAGCAAATAGCGATGAAGAGCAGCAATGCAATGCCTACAGGTCGGTTTTCTTGTGCTGAGATGCAGAACGTATCTAAACAAGTCTAGTTCTACTAGAAATTGCCCTCTGAAGCACAGGCCGTCCCTATCCATCATGGTCCCTCAGATCAGCTCACTACCCTCTCCATCATGGCTCTAATTATGGAGTTAAGGCAAATCTGTTTAACAAGCTGCCATGTGACCCAGGAGACGTGGTGGAAAACAACCAAGACAAGGATTGGGTGAGTCTTGAAAACTCTGCCCTTTGAATGAGGTTGAGATCCTCTCCCAATCACATAGGTCTTTGCAAATCAAGGGCACTGAGTGGAAGAAAGGCTGGTGGAAAATGTAAGAAAACTCCTTCCTGAGAGCTCCTGAACCATGACACCCTCTGATCTTGCCCAGAAGATCTCCTGGGACCTCATTCCACCCTCTCATCCAGTGACTGGAGACCTCCTGGAGCCAGGGGACTCTGTCAGTGATTAGAAGAGCAGATTGCTGATGTGAGGCTTGTTCCTGCAGTGTCTGTCTGTATGTGCAATTAGAGGCATGGACAATTCTGGCCCCAAAGAGCTGTCTCCAGACCAAAGCTGGTACTACTTGGAAAGGAAAATCCATCTCTCCCAGTGGCCTCAAGTCTTCCCCAGGGATGGACCTGTCTTTATTTGTGAAAGTGCACCCTAACATGCCTTTGAAAGTTGAAGTCTTTTTCTGACTTTCTTCATCCACTGGCAACAGGAGCCATCCCTTCCAGGATAGAAAGAAAACCAAAAACCCCTCCTTATTTTCTTTCCCTCTCGCACATTTTCAATTAAAATAGATTTGTGCAAGCTATACTGAATGCGCCGCAAATCTCTTTGCATGGTTAAAGTTGATTAATTGGGGTCAGAAGTGAAAATTAAAAAATGGCAGCAGCTAACAAAATACAAATAGCGTCTCTTGGGCCTTGTGGATGATGGAGCACAGACTGAGATGCCTGAGCTGGTTCTGCCTTGAGAAGGACCACCTCCTTCACCTTGGGTTAAACACTCAAGAGCAGAGCTGGGTTTTGGGGGGAGGGGGTTGGCCTCAAAATAGTATGTATATAATCCTCAAGATAATCAATTTCTTACAGATGCTTTGTAAACTTTCCTGTTCAAGAGCGCAAGCCATAGTACTTTCTAAATCCCTAGGGGTTGTACTTGATATCCATTTGTTATTTCCTAATGCTATTCAATCTTTTTTTCCCCCTGTTTTTTTGAAGCTTGCAGCAATAAGCCTGAGACTTACGTCGGCAGTCGCCACTGCTTCTGCCATTCTGCAGTGAACTTTGTGCGCGTTTTCATATTCCTTTTCTTAACACTCCTGATAAAAGCATTATCAGGGAAATTCAAAAGCAAGCAGAAAACTGGCATAGCTAATTTAGGCTAATTAGTATGGCAGAAGCTGAGTCTTGTACTTCAGAGGTTCCCATGCCCTCCCATGTCTCCACCTGATCGCCTTGTCCAGCAGCAAACCCAGGAGGCAGCTCCAATTATATCATAACCTCTTCAAACACCAAGCCACTCAAGCTAATTTTATCCTATTAAACAGACTGAAGGATTCAGAAGAAAGGTTCTCCCCCAAAAGCTTCAATTACCAGTGTCCCTGATTACCATCTTTACAATCCTATATGCTACAGTTAAATACTTTTTTGCTTAGTGTTGCTTTCTTGATTTAGATGAAAAGCGAGTATTAAGAGCATGTCTTTTCAACTCAAGCAAGTGACATTCATAAAAAAAAAAAAAAAAGGAGCCTCTCTTGTTATTAGCTTGTTTAATCAAAGTCAAGTTTAGAACCGTTCAAAGACAATGTAATTGGGGAAATGTAAACATCCCCTCGCATCTGGTGGCATTTAAAGCAGCCACAGGTAACTACCAGTAACAGCAGTGATGGCCAAAATTATTAGGTCTAGAGGAAAAAAATATATAAAGAAAACAGCAGGATCTCCTGAAGCAAGGAAAAGTCGAATGGTGTTTGAATTTAATCTGGTATCACTAATCAGCAATAAAGACAGAAAATATCCTCTAAGGTACTGGGCAGGTTCATCCTTCCCTGCACCAATGTGCAGTAGACATTGGCCTTGAGCACAGTCATGTCTGGCCAAACACACTTTCCTGGGTCACAGATGTGCCTGGGCTTAGGGCAGCTCACA